CTGTGTAAACAGCGTGAACAGCTTATCACTCCGGGCGCTACCTTGGTGATAAATGTGTTTGGTGAGTAATTTTGATCGCAATCTTTCTCCGCCTATCATTCTGTTATTAACTGACCATATATTAATGATCACATAGACTGCACTACGTGCACGTGTACAGGAGCAGCGAAATGATGATCCAGGGGATGCATTGTGCATGCCTGTGTTTCTGGTTTCTCTATGCAAATTAGTTACGGGAAAACTATGCTTCCAAATCCCTATTTGTCTGGGCGGAAACCAAACCCTTGAATAATTTATGGATGAAATTTATTGTGCTGGCAAGTGAGCAGCAAAATCCCTAAACTGGTAATATTTATACAAATACGACTCATGAAAAACGAATTTTTCTCAGTTTTCACGGTATATTGATTGCAGATCGAGAAAGTAACCTGGTGGAGAATGATCGCCATCTATGGTCTATCTATTCCTCATCGGTGCCTTGCACACTTCCCAGTGCGTGCTAATTGTTTGGAGAACTTTTCCGCCGTTTTTTTCTATTCTAACATGAAGTCAACAAACCAATATGGGTTTTTTGGCGGACTACCCATTTTCACTTATGTTGAAGTTACCTCTGATGAGGTTTGCATTAATTCAACTTGTTCATAAATTGATCCTCAGCCTCCACTCACCAATTCTCTTTGTTTTCAGATACTTTGAGAGAAGCACAGAATAAACTGTTATTGCTTTAAAAGCAATAATTGATTTTTTCTCAATTATCCGATTGTTATTCCTGCTCCAAACCGGGTGCTCAAAAACGACGAACTTTAGAGACTGGAGTTATTCGCAAACGTTTTTATCCAATACATCGAACAAAAAGTTAGAAGATTTTCTCATGCTATTTCCCTGTGAATAGGGTCGGATTCTCGGAGGAATTCGAACCTACTCGTGAATGCCACCCGTGCTTTTGTGTAACGTAAAATCTACCACTGGCATGACCAAACCACACATATCTGAATTTTTTATACCCTATAACATCTGCTGCAATTATTTTATTTCTTAGTATGAATATTCCCTTTTACCATGTCTAAATGCTTTTGCTTCAAGTGCACTATCGAGTTTCTCATACTGTAAACTGAAAATATCTTGAACTCACCTTCTTGTAGCTGACAGTCAGTTCCATTTCAAAGTTCATTAAAAAGCAGTAATCTTGACTTGTCTTGTTTTTAATTGAATATTGCACCTCTGCATTGGTTTTCTGACCAACAATCTCTTGTTGTAGTGACCAGGAAACGCACAAAACTAGGACAAATTGAACTTTGGACGGAAATAAAAACGAAGCAGTGTAATTCACTCACCAGTCCATCTGAATTTGTTGCACGGAATCATTTTAACTAAGAAGGTGATATGAATCAGTTGTCCTGAAAGGTAAAATCCAATTGAATTGAACAATAGTTTAGACACGAAGACTAAGAGCAGCATGCCTGATTCAGTAAATTTTTATACTACTTGGAGGCATATCCCAATTCTTCCACGGTCATCGTTACATTTGGCCCCGATTAACCTAAGCGTGCGTCGTCATTGATGACGAAGAGTGTCAAACACCCGGTGAGCAGATAAAACTGGGTTCAGGATAACCGGGATGTCTGTCACTGGCGTGTTTTGGACCCTATGGTCCGAGGTTCGAGCCCCGCCACCGCCACCCAACTTTGGTGATAGACATCTTTGTTGTCGTCCGTTTCAATACCACGCTTAACCTAGCGGGACTTTATTTGGTTCGCCACTCGAAGTCCCGGGGCTTAGATTACCGGTTTCCGTAACGGAGCAGCGGTTCTTCGTGACTATGGGTTTCGCTCCATCTGCTGTTCACCACGCAAATGTGTGTAATAAAAAACTGAGATGTGAGAACCCAAACCGGACGGCGTGTTGTGTATGGGAACATCCACTGTTTAGTGGACGAACCCACAGCTACTGTCTACCCCAACGTTCTTCCGAAGAAAATCTTTGACGCTTGCAAGCAATTGTTATGTAACCTCCTGGGTTTTACCCATGTCTACCCAACGAACCTGGCTGCGTCCATCTAAGAAGATATCGTCAAAAATCAAACGTTCACTCTGTCCCATGACAGTCTACCAAAATGAGCATTACCGTATTTTTGAACAAATAATCGATTCATTGGGTTGCATGTGTCACCAAAAGCTAGCATTTAGACAGTGAGACATTATTCCATTTATGACATTGTACATATTTATACGGTAATTATTTCGGTGTGATCTTAGCTTGTTTAAAGACCGGCGGAGATGAAACAAACAACAAGTTGAAATTGCCACCAAAGGTCAGGTCAATAAAATTTGATCACACCTTTATCATAAGGTTTCCATTTCGAACAGACTGGGTTGGTCCAGCCCCCAGGCTTACTCTAACTGGGGAAGTAATTGAGCGAGTGGATAAGTTTTATTGTTTGGGCAGCTACATCTCACCCGGTGGACTCATTACTGATGAAGTGTTTGCTCGCATCCAGAAGGCTCAGTTGGCATTTACAAACTTCAGACATCTGTGTCGCCATCGTGACATCCGGTTGTCTGTGAAGTGTCGAGTGTGTGCCGCGGAATTTCGATCAGTTCTGCCATACGGCGCATAAACGTGGCCATTAAGGAAACAGGACAAACAGAGACTGTTAGAGTTTGAACACCGCTGTCTATGCATCATTGCACGAATCTGGTGGGGCAGCCGGATGAGCAATGCTGAGGTTAGGCGCAGATTTTTTGGTAATCGCGGTCCCTCACTCGAGCAAGTGGTCCGACCTCCATAGATTACGTGGGTTGAGGCATGTGGTACGCATGTTACCAGATAGGTTGCGACGACGAACGAAATTTTCCGAGGCGGATAGTGGATGGAAGAAAACAAAGGTGGTCAACCTATGTATGACCTGGCACGAAAGAATGAAAACGCTAATCACGGGACTGGGTCACATAGGTCCCGTTAGGCTCCCTGGCTGGGAACCCCGAGATCATGGTCGCCGGTGGTTAGAGACACTGTGTGATATGACTGAGTGTCGTTAACAGTGACGTTCGTGCATCTTCTCAATTTCTTTGCAATCTTAGGCCACTGAAATTCTCCATTTTCTGTTCGACTCCACATTCAACTTCCCTGTCTTCTCCTATTCCTCATTCAACTGGGCAGCCAAAGGACAGCATCCAAAATCCACGAACTAAAGTTCATGGGTAACGGTTGTAAAAACTGAACTGAACTGATAAATATTTTATTGTGGTTGGAGATGTAGACTTCTGTAAGTATCTAAGTTCAATCACACACACACGCAAATAAAAACACGCAATATGCAGTCACAGAGGAACACAAATGACAAAGAGAAAGAGAAAGAGATCATTTGACTTGAAACGTTAGCCCGCAATTCAGTTACCACTTTGGCTCAACTGGCAGTCGTGAGTCCTACCCA